GGATCTCGGGCATCAGCCTGTCAGTGATCAGCTATATGGGCACGCAAGGCAAGTATCGCGCCCTCAACAAGCTTTTGAGCTGGGCCGATTTACCTGACATCGATGACCATGCTCCTGAAGAGGAGCCTGTCCTGGAGATTCAGTTGCCTCCAGAGACCCTCCCAAGGTTGTGATTGTCGTTTGCATTTATCAGATGCTTGAAGCGGCGCCACCGGCTTGGCCCTATTGGTCTCACACTTCATGAAGCACCAGACTCGAGTGGAGCATGAGCGAGTTGGGGGGGGGCATCCCTAGTGGCGAATTTGGGCTTTGCATCCCTGCTCCCATGACTCTTGGCCACTCGTGTTTTTGATGGCGCAAAATGGAGCGGAGACGGTTTTTGGGACAGGAGAACAGACAGTTGGCTCATGCTCATCTTCACATGCATATGCCACTTCATGATGGGGTGAGGAGAAGTATGTTGGTGTATTTGTGTTTTGTCTTTGTGTTGGTGCTCTCAGCTGCTTGCTTTTTTGAGGCCAATACCAGCCGCTTGGGAAACTCTGTGGCAGAGTCGGAGGTGCAGGGCGTTCAAGATTTTGAGGGCATTCGAGCGTTTCAAAACGTTTGGATGAAGCCTGGGCTTGGTTTGGCAATGGACGGGTTACACGTGTTTGTTGGGAGATGGCAGGACCTGACCAGAGTGCTTGTCAGGAGTGTTTGGATGCCAAGGTTGAAACGTGGGTTACTTGGCTGAATCGGAAAAGAAAGCCATGTTGCCTCTTGGCTCTGCCTGTCCCGTTCTTGTCTGCCGGCGAGTTCGGTGAAATCGGCATCCAAAAGGAAAGTCCGTTGGTTGCATTTGCTGGAACATGCACATAGAGTCGATGCCAAGTAGACAAAGCCACTGGTTGTCTTGGCTGCACATAGATGGGGTTACGGGGTTACAGCCTGAAATTCTCTTTGAGCAGGCGCAGTACATTTGAGAACAAGAGGTCGGGAGCCTATATGTTCTGATGACCCCGTGGCCAAATTAGAAGAAGCCCGGTGAATTTTGGTAAATAGCTTCGGCTCAAGCTCGGTTGGCGAAAACAAGGTTGGTGAAAAAGTCTGTCGGCTCAAGGCAGCTCGGTCAAAAAGTTGCACCACTATCGCGGAAAATTTGGGATAGGCAGTTCCTCCTTGGCTCAAGCTAACATGTTGGGAGACTTGGGGCAATAAAAAAGGGGTTGGGATATATGTGCGTGGGTGACGTGGTGGAGTTTTCAGTGCAAGCGGTTGCTCTTTTCTTTTGGCGTTGCACTGAAACATGTGCTTGGGCGCTGCGCAGGGACCCTGAACATGTGTCATGCGTCTGTTGTATCACGCGCGCTCCTCCCCACAGGTTTTTGTGTTTTGGTCTCGCTAATGCCAATGCTTTGTATTGCCTACTACTGAACAGAACCTATCTGCGTGTTTTGTTGAAAAGACATCATGGCTCAGTACGTCTGAGGGGCGTAGCGGCGAAGCACAGTGTACGCGCCGTAACGCGCGTTACGCCGAGGTCGAGGTAAGCGTTGCCTGTCAGTAGCTGCGCGTTACAAGGGACATAGCACAGTTCGCGGCGTGGGGCGCACCAAGATTTGGGCAAACATTTCCCGTCATTAGTTTTCGTCGCTGTTATTTTGAAGGATGTATAATGCGGCTTACGCGGCGTAACGAGCGATACGTTAAAAGGTCCGGGCAAACCTTTCCAATTCCCGTCAGTACTTCTTGCGGCTTGTTTTTCAGCCTTACACGGCGTAAGGCGCGTTACACCAAGGTTTGTGCAAACAATGTCAACGAAGGAAGAAACAATGCTTTGCACATACCATCTTTGTTCACAAGCGGTGAGCTTCTCTGAAATCCTCGGCAGTCTCTGTAAACATATGCCAACGTGTGCCACTTTCGGTGTAATAGCACGGCCCTACTTGCATCCTCATGAGGCGAGTTCGAAACCGGAGCAGCTCGACCCGACAATCAATGTAAAAACTTTCACAGTGAAATCATAATCAAACACATACTCAAAAACAAAGAACTCAAATCCACCAATCTGCTCCACCGATCCTCTGTTGTATTCTGCGCTGTTGTTTGTGCAGCATTGCTCAATGCTACAGCCATTGATATCCTTGCTGCAACTTGGTTCGTGTATCCAAACGTCTGAGCTGTTGATGCTTGTCTTTCTTCTTTGTTTTCCCTTTGCAGCTGTACAGTTCTCATCATGAACAATGCTGAGCCATCCGCTTTTGAGCATATCTGCCGCCTGTTGTCTTGTATGAACCTGGTGGTCAAACCATTGGCTACCATTCTTTTGCTGCTCCCCCAACGAAGCTCTATCTGAAGCCTTTTGACCCCCTCTTTGATGCACAAGACCTCGATTCGTGCCCTTTTGTCCGCTGAACTTCCGATGCCAACTCTTTTCAAGCTGTCGTTCAGTGCTTTGGCATCATCAATGATTATTGCCGACGTGCCGCATTCTGCTGCCGTTGCTTCTCTCAATCTTCTGTCATAGGATCAGAATAATTTGCGTTCAACATCACCCTGAGGGATCAACCGACACTTTATCTGATCCAGCTGCCCAATCATACAATAGTACGAATAGAGGTATCGACGGGTTTGCCTGCAGGTTGCGTCGCATATACAATGTCTGATCGGCACGGTTGAATGGCTGGTCTGGAGCAATGGCACGGATGGCAAGATCGAACGATTGCCTCTTCTATGAGAAAAGCTTCATCGCCCAAGGTCGTGCTCTATAGACCCAGAACGATGGCCTCTGCTGTCCGGACGCGACTGATGTATCCAGTTTGGCATCGGACACCTCGGTCTCCAGGTCTCTGATGAACGCTTAATTTAGTTGCCTGGAAGTCTGCGAATCGAAGTTCCTCTTCCGAAGCTGCCCTTGAAGCTGGGCCTTGGCAAACTTGGGGCAAAACAGTTTGTGAACAGATATCCCTGACGCGCAAATGTCGCGATTGAAAGGTCTACGTTAGATTCTTTGCGTGGAGCCCACCTTAGTGAACAGAGCGAACACCAATAATGAAGTGCTCAGAAGGGCCAATTGTGCAATTAGAGCACAAAATAATTAACCCGCATAGTGCTGTGTACAGAAGAAGCGATACCTTTAAAAAGCAGAGAATTGCCTAGCAAGATTGAGAGGAACTCGAAAGACCCGAATGAGTTGATCTTGATCTCAGATAGTGCAGGAGTCCAAAAGTTCGTGAATCAGAACCTGGCTCAGCTCCGTGGAGCAGTGGCCGATATGCAGGCACGACTCCCCTTGTTGCGAGGGGAGGTCGCTTGTTCGCTTAAAGTTACTTTGAAAAGTTGCGCCAGTTGACGGCGCAACAATTTGACAGTTCCTGTGGAAACTGAGGACGGAGAAAATAGAAGGAGAGTGGCCAGGACACATGATGAACTTGGGGGTGACACCTCCAGGATGCTGGTGTATGAGGCTTACCTTGACTGCCTTCTGCGCAATAACGCCCATCGAGATTGTCATCGCACTGCGCGAAGCGAGAATGCCCTCTTATTCCATGCGCAGTTTGACCCTTACCACAGGGCATGGAACGATCTGAAACTGGCAATGCAGAACTCAAAGCCAAATGCATGGAGAGCAGTGTTGGAGCTGACCCTGGTTTGCAACCTCAACTACGGCCCTTATAGCAGCTCAGCTTGGTTCTGGAGAAAAAGGCAAGATTGGCTGATTTTCCTTCAACAAAGACTCATTTTGGAGCTGCCTGGCAGAAACATGTTCCCAAAATCTGCCAAGAGAGGAGGATCAGGGAGCCCGCTCGCCCCATTGAGTCCCAAGACCTCTTCGACCAGCTCAGGGATTTAATTTAGAAACCTTCCATCAGAAGGGGCCCCTCATCAAGTTGATGAGGTGGTTCAGCTGTTTTGAATCCATGCACTTCTACAGTGGAGAACTGCTGGCGACCAAAGCAGCCAGAAGCGAGACAAGGCGGACACAATCACCAACAAGAAGGGAGACAAGGCGGACACAGTGACCAACAAGAAGGGAGACAAAAAGAGACAGAAGGGAGACAAGACGGACACGGTGACCAACAAAAAAGGAGACAAGACCGGCGACAAAGGAAGACAGAAGCGAGACAAGGCGGACACAATGACCAACAAAAAGGGGGACAAGAAAGGGAGACAAAAGGAAACAGAAGGGAAACAGCGACGAACCTTTCGATTGTGTAAAATGGTTCCTTGTTTCTGTATGAAAAGGTTTAAAAAGACCCACAGTCTTCCACAGACTCCACAAGGACTGGAGGAGACAAATGGGAGACAAGCGTAAAATCATGCGGCCAGCGGACAGTGGGAGACAAGTGTAAAATCATGCGGCCAGAACACCAGACAGTGGGAGACAAGCGGAAAACACATGTAAAATTCATTCAGCCAAAGCACTAACAGGAGACTGGAGACAATGGGAGACAAGTGGGGGACAAGTGCATCAGGATGAGGAAGATCAGATATTATGCGTGAGGTCAAGTAAAGGAAGTTCCCAAAATCAGTCCCCCAAATGTCCGACTCCTTCTTTTTGGAGTCGCTCTACCAGGATATACCCAAGTTGATCCTTCCAATGTTGGCACAGATCCCATCAGATCAGATCCCTGCAGTGTCAAGCACCTGGGGATCAGAATGAACTTTATAGGAGTTGGGGCAATCGCACGTGTTCTGAAAAGTCAACTTGTTGTTGTGTCGCATATCGACCTCTTCTTTGCCCGGATCTTCCAATTATCCAAGATGTTTGCCCCCTTTCGCTGGGGTTTATAGATGAAAGGGCAGACCATTTGCACCGTTGAGAAGATCCAGGTCTATCCCTAGGGATCCAAGTACCTTCTCAGCAGGTACTTGGACCCTCCAAGCCTACATAACACTGTCGAACACATCACCGTACCTGAGGTTCGGTACGACCGGATGCCTATAGGCCTATAGGGTATGAAATCCGCCCTTGTTTGATCGGTCGTCGGTCGTCACCGTCACCGACGATGACCCAGGTGCCGCGGATGATGCCGAACTGATGGTGCCCACCACGTGGAAAGAAACCAAGGACCATCGAGCCGAGCGGACGCGACGCGACGCGTTTTTTCAGGTCGAAGGAGTGGTTTGAGCTGCTTTTGCCAGGATGAGAGCTGTTTTCCTGGGAACGCAGGTGAGAGCAGTCAAAGGAGTTTGATTGACCTGGTGTGGAAATCAAAACTCCGTGGCTATGACATCAAAGGTGGTTGAAATCCATATAAACCGGTGTTTCTTGGCGTTTTTTGGCCAAGTTCTTCAAGGGAAGGCACTCATGGCACTCACTCACTGACAGCAGCGAGGCGGTATATACCAGGTACTTCCAGGACCTTCCTTTCGGCCGGTGGCTTTTTGGACACCCCGAATCAACTCAGACACGAGGCTATATATAGAGACCTCGACAGCCCGGAAGGTGGGAACAATCGATATGGGGCTGGAATATTGGCCAGTTTCTAAGCCAGTGCTCGTGGCTTAAATTGACCGGCCCATGGATTTGGAGGGCCACACATTCGCTCAAAAACCACCGTTTGCCTGCCACGGTCCTTAAAACCGCAGTCATTGATTTGTTCCAGTCGGTTTTTAGCCCGGACAGGACCGACTGCCATGTCGGACTGCCTTCAAAACGGCCAGGGGTGGTTGACTGGGGGTCTGTCTGGGGCAGCAGTCCGTCCTGGCAGTCCCAGACGGGTCGCGTCTGGGTCGCGGCTCAATGGGTCCAGGAAGCGGCCGAATTGGCTCGCCGGATCTTGAACGAGCAGCGCAAGGCCTTGTGCGCCTCGGCCAACGGTTGGCCTGCCATCGGCGTTGGCCTGATCACGTTGTAAAACTAGGCCAGTTCGGCGGACATGTTGCATAATAGTTGGTAACTGTAGGACTCCAAGTACCTCCTCAGAAGGTATGACTGGACCCTCTAAACCCACCCCAAACACCTTCTTAGAAGGTACTTGGACCCCAAGGGCAACTATACTTTGAGTGTTATGGTTTAAAACGAGCGAGGGGGCGCAACCATGCCACGGTGCGATCTTGGAAGGTCTTGCTTCTGTGATGTTTGGGATGGGAGAAACATGGGGACCAGGCGCATTTTGAGTGGACGTTCGGCCCGTTCTCCCTCCCGAAAGGGCGAACCATCGACTGGAAGGGTCTGGGGGGTTCTCAACCAATGCCCCTTCCTGGGCCACCATTGATTTTGATAGCCTCTTGGCTGGTTGTCTAGATCAAAAGGCATGAACAAAATGTTGCACGGTTGGAAGTTACATCGGGGTTTATGAAAAGGAATCTATATAATCTAATGTATGCCATGTCCATGTGTGTATACATAATATATACATACGCAGTCCCATGGAGTGTTTGCGTAGTGCTTCGCCAACGCCTGAAATCAGCCACAGAATGATGGTGTACGAAAGGAAAAGGATAGGTTCAGCGCTGGGAATTGACCGCGGTTGATCTTTCGTATGGTTTCTGTTTCTTTCAGGGGATGTTTCGGTCAAGCTCTATTTACAATAATAATGAAATCACATACATTTCCTGTCCCTGTCCAAGATCTATCCCATATTGTTAGATTGACGTGCGACGCATGAGCTGAGCCAGATTAGTTTTGGTTGACGTTCATTCGTCTTCAGACCCTTTTATCTTTCGCATCGTTTATCAAGTGTTCAATGGTCTCTTCACCCTTTTTCTGAATGATCACCCATTGAATCCATTCAGAAATAGAGATTTATACGGATTGTATGCAGGTGGTCGCCAAGATTTTACACTTCATATCTTTACCCCAGGCTTCCAGTCACCATTGATTTACATAGTCTTTACCAAATAAACCATTGTTGTCCTAAAGATTTCAGACTAGGAAACCAACTCAACCACGTTTTAACCAAGTTCTTCCAGAAAAGGCTTCAGGAATGAATCTAAAACACCTCTTAAGAATCAGCGCTTTTTGGCCTAAACAACCGATGATCAGATCGGACCTTTATAGCCAAGGCCCTGAGCGGCCGAGCCTGCAACTCCTGCGCATCCTGGCCGCCGCACGGCAGCCAGCGGAGGGCCAGGCACCACCGACGCGGAACGTGCGACGGGACGTCGTGAACGTCGAAAAGACCCGTAACAGACCCGTCATGGAAAACAGCAGTGGGGATTGGTGAAAAGCTCCGAAGGTATCTAATAGACCCCTAGAAGATCCTAATTAGATCTTCCAACTGTGCAAAATCTCTGCCTAGTCATATAAAATAAAACTAAAAGTGTTGGCCAAGTAAGCAGGTGGCGGATGGTGGCGGCACTTCTTGCATTTTGTTGGAAGATGCAGGTATGCCGTCTTGAAACGTTCCGAAAACCTTCAGCCTGCACATCATCCGACGCGCGCCACTTTCTTCTGCACGACGCGCCTGGCAGGTGTGGAGACTACAGCTGGAAATCCGGGAGGATTCCCGGCGAAACTGCACCGATGGATGCGGCTGGCTTTTGTTCCGATGGAGCACCGTTCCAAACAGCCGTGTCCTGGTCCCTCAAATTCTAGGGATTTGAAGCCCTGAGGGTCTGGCCCCGTCTTAGGATATCTTAGGATCCTCGGGAGGATCCATGAGCATCTCGGTGCACTACTCCTGACTTGTGCTTAGCAGGGAATGAGGGAAGTTTCGCCTCCAATAGAGATTCTATTGGATCCATCCACCCTCATTCCCTACGAGTCGCACCAGTCAGACCCTGAGATAGATGGTGAAGCAGTTTGTTGGGATCGTTCCTTACCACCTTCTTGAAGCATGCCATCCCGCAGAGGTTGAAAAACCCTATAGACTATCCTATAGGTACCCCTGTAGGGTCCTATAAGGTCACTTAACCTCTGTAGGATCCCTTAGCAGCCTTAGCAGCATGAAGAAAATGAACCTATAGTCCCTGGTTGGGTAAAACATTTGGTTCTTCGGGATATTGACAGGGCTATATCAAATCAACGCTGGGCGACCGAAGAAGACCCGAAGTGCGGGGGCGAGCTGAGGAGTTGGAAGAATTCGGCGAGAAGAGCGGCAGCTTTGAAGAACAGGCAGCGACTGATTCACGATGGGCTGATCGTCCGACAGAAAAGCCTGCAAGATCTGCTAACTTAGGCGACATGCTGGTCGAAGCTGGCTGGATTTATAGATGAAGAAAAGGTAGAAATGTGACGCAGTTGACAAATTCATGCAGTCTTGGCTCCTCACATGTTCCCACCTTGGACTGAAAAGGAAAACCGAAACGAGCAGATCGTTGCTCCGTTCGTAGCGACCGCGAGCGGAGCCCCTACTACCGTGCGTCCGCGTCCGCGTCCTTCCGTTCGTAGCGATGCCAGAAACCCATCTTCCCATCGGAACTCGAAACGGGCAGATCTTGGTGTCCTATGCCTTGGACACAGAAGTGCCACAAGAGATGGCCCTCAGTGCAGAGGTCTATGCAGGCGTGCCGCTTCGGTCAGGTCCGCTAGGCACGTTGTGCGATGTTGATCTTCCTTGGATGGGTAAGAATTCACCGGCATTGCGGAATATAACTTGTCTTTTCTCTGTTCCTTATTCCTTATAGACATCGATGGCCTCCATGATTCATGACAACCGAGAGGCCCCACCCACGGTTGTGTTATACTGTCGGTTGGTAGCTGGTGGCATCGCCCCCTTGATCACATGGAAGCTGAAAAGGGACCTGCAAGGAAGACGATGTTCCTCCACAACCCGACGTGGTTTTCAGGTTCCATTTGGGTCTCCAACATGACCGGTGATTCCTCCCAGCCGCCTCTCGATGCCGCACCCTTTCGGAGATGAAGTGGAACCGGTTCCCTGTAGCCATCCAGCCATCTTACCTAAGGGCTCGTCGCTATAGTCACCCAACGTCGCAAACGTGACGTCACCCGGAGGCCATCAAAAGAGTTCAGGAACGACCTGGTTTTCAGTGTTGTAAAACAATCGTTGGATGTTGTTCGGTATGGTGTTCCTTTCGCGGCCTGCGCCTTTCGTTCATCGCGACCTGCTGTGCCCTCCAAGCTTATCTTGCTGCGCGCCGAAGGGAGTCAAAGTGGGTGCTGCTGGGGTTGTGAGGCCGATATCCCTGCAAGATGGTGCATGAGGAGAAGGAGCAGACCACTCTGGACTGCGGGGGAAGAGACTGGAGAGGCCTTTGGATGGTTCTTTTTTTCGTTGTCCGGTATGATGAAAGAACCCTAATTGGGGAGGTCTTACTTCTCAGGTCCTCAAAAGTTCGATCTGTGTTCTCTGAACTGATAGTGGCAACTACACGAAGAGTCCAGCTGCGAAACTGGAGGAGAAAACCATTCGCATGCAAATGTCACAAACATATGTGAATGAACACTGCGGAAAGCTTCACACCCAATTTCACAACCTAAGTCTTGCCCTGTCCTTGCAAAAGGAAATCCTGGAATGCTTTGCACTCGTCAACCCTGTCAATGATTAATAGTTTGACTAACAAACCAGCGGATGGGGTGATTGACAAGAGGGAACAAATTGAAACGACACTTCCCAGACCATCCTTGTATGAATAGTTACCTACATTGGGGTCATGTTCATGGGATGAATGTAAAATAACTATTCCAGTCCCATGGCAGGTCTAGGCTTTAGCATCCAGCATCACCCAGGATGTGGATGCTTGAAAACCCCCCCTGACTCCTGACCTGCTATTTTCCATCCAATCACCACCCGTCTCCTGGCTGGTGCTGGATCTGCAGCTACTTGTGTTGTGGCGGCCACCGATGATCACCGATGAAGGAGTCGGAAGCTTTGCCCTTTTGGCTTGACAAAAGTCCTTCCACCCGAAGTCTGAAGTTGAATGCTTTGGGGTTTGGGGTTTGGTCAATCCTTTCCCGTGAAAGGCCTGTGAACAGAGCGTTTGGGTCATAAGGAAGCCTTCGAAGATCCTGAAGTCAAATTGGTTGTTTGGTAAAGTTCTTGCAGAGGTACGTCCCAGTGGATCTACATGTGGAGGTCAGGAGATTCATGCGAGTAGCCTCTAAGTGATTTTGAGTACACTCCCTCTAATCATCATGGAAGTGGATGGTATGGCCCCTGGGATGACCAGTTCGCCGTACAAACAGGTGGTGCAGTGGTGCCAGTCTCATTTGATCACAAGATCTTGCATAGATATACTATGGACCATGATATCCCCTGGGAGCCCGAGAGGTTTCAAAAGATTGCGTGTCATCTATAGATGACCCGTTTATCCAGGAATGTCCCGTACTTTGGTGGTGCCCAATATGCAACTGACAAACTGCTACCCCAAATCATGAAATATGGACATATAACCTCATGTCAGAGGTGAGGTGAGGAGCCGGATGTTCCAAAACGGCCTGAACGGGGGGTCGGTCCGTTCATGTTTCGGTTCGAGGATCCGATCCGTGCCACTGTGGATCGATGACACTGTACACGTTTTTCCGGTGCCCCCGAACCGACCCGTCTTCAACCCGCAGGACGCGGAGGAAGACCTCGAAAACGCCACGGAGCACGCCGCCGCGGCGTCGGTGAGGCGCGCGAAAGCGGAACGGAGCCCATCGCGACGGGCGAGTGAAGACGTGGATCCGAGTCCGGACCCTTCACTCGGAAGGGGTCGAGGTGTCTCGAGGTGCTGCTGTTCACAAGGGTTTGGGGGCCCCGAAGTAAACCCTTGTTTTGTTTCGGGTGCGGATCCTTAGGGTAGAAGATATAGAGGGGGTGAGTCCGGATCCGAAGAGGCAATCCACTTTTGGAGGGACCAGGAAAGGGCGCCGTGTGGGGACACCAGGACCACCAGGTTTCGATGGTTTGTCAATTGGATGTGTTGGGATGGGAAAAACACATGGGTTCGCGGAGGGTCTATGAATCACCCAGTTGCTGGGTGGTGCTGGCAAGTACAAGTCTTTTGCTTCGGGTCATGTCCTATTAAATTATTCACTATATGAACACCCCAGACACTCCGTGGGTCATGGGAAATATCTGGAAATGTGCCTCGGCCGGCATACATGAAACATCATGAAACCCTCGTTTCAATGACCCGTTCGAAGTCCAGTGAAAGACTTGGTTCGGGCACCACCGCAGTGGACCGAGGACATTCCCAGTTCCTCAGGGCGTCCGACGGTCGATGGGTCCGTGGGCTGGGCCCCTGGAAGTCCAGTGCGACTACTTTGGGTCCACTCCAGGTAGCAGCACTGTCCGGGTTTGGGATCCTCACCATGTGAGGGTGGAAATGGACCGAAGACAAACATGTAGCAGTTGCTTCGGGCTTCTCGGGCCACGTCTCGCGACGTAGGGCTGGAACCCATATCCCAAATACGCCATGTTGACCGAGAAACGGCCAGGGGTGGTTGACTTGGGGTCAGTATTCCAGTATACATGGAGTGTCTGGGCATGGTTGTTCCAACAGGACAAGTGTTTGATCCCTCACATTCCTAGAGCTTCCATTAGATCGGTCTGCCTCTGGTGGAAACCCTGACTCTCCAGTGCCGAGGGTCACCGGTTAGGTCGGGTCTCCACAGCCAGCCTGGCCAGGAGGGTCCTGGTATGGGACTGGTTTTCTAGAATTGGGAATCAGCCACCACGTTTTGCCAGGCGGCTGAGCTGGGACCCAACATCCGCCTCGGAAGCGGTTGCAGCTGGAAGAAGCCTGGATTGGTCATTCATTCTTAATACAATAGACCTACCAGCATCCTCACTGCCAAGTCTCCTCAGTCGAGAGTTGTTGGGCCCTCAAAAATCTCAATTGGTGACCTGGCAGCGAGGATGCGGGTATAGATCTTCCAACGAGCAACATGTTTGCCCAACTGGTCTCGCTTGATAGACGAAAAGGCAAAGATTGTGCATCATTGGAAGATCATGAAGATCCACTTATTTTTGTTCTCCACAATGGGCTGATGGACCCAAACCAGCCAGGGTATTGTTTGGAACACCTGATGGTCTTGCACTTGCAGCGGTCAAGATCCAGGCACCGGAGGATCAATGAGCCTTTGGGTGTAGGCCCTAGAACACCCCGGTGCCCTTCCGAGGAAGACCATTCAAAGAGTTGGGTTGACATGATGTTGTAGTGTAAAGTCCAATGCTTGTTGGGGACCCCAGATGGACCGGGCTATTCAATCCATTGTGGACCAGCAAGGCTCGAGTCTATAGTTGCTTAGTTTGTGTTTTGGGTAAGGCGCCTGGCCAAGCTCCAACAACTCCTGGCCTCCAAACTCCTGCAGTTGGAGGCCATGTCTTCTAAGGCAACCAAGTCGAGCGCCCCTTTGTGGAGCAAGGCTGTGCTGAGTGGGTGGAAGTGCTATAGGTGATCAGAACCTGAGTGACCTCCTATTTTGGACGGACCACCACCCGAAAAGCCGCAGCTCTTCGCCAAAAGGAGCGCCGGCTTCGCTTCGTGGGGTGTGGATCCTGGATGGGGTGCTGCTAAGCCACTACACGTTCGGCTATCCACATGAAGGCCTTCATGTGGATTGGTGGTTCAGTTCACTCCTCGGAGTTCATGGGAAGTGTCGGAAGAGAGCTATTCGTCCCGCCATCGCCCCACGCAGGGGTCAAGCCCGCCGTCCTCCGGCGTCCGGAGCGGCACGTTTCGGTCTGGGACGTTTCGGTCGAACGAAGCTCCGAAGGGTGTGGTCCTACCTGAAGGCCGTCGTTCGTACCTCGGAAAGAACTGGGTACCGTCGTATATATCTGTTTTTGATGGTTTTGATGTCCCATTTTCTAAGGTACATTGAAGTCGGGTCTAGGTACATCCATTGGGCTCAATTGTAATCACATTCCAGGTCTTCTTCTTTCTGTCTTTGACCCCCTTCTCCGGTGGAGTAGGGGTAATCTTCTCGATTGCCTTCTGCACTTCTTCCTCTCATCTCTGTTCTCAAGCTCCTTGTATCCTGGTGCAAAGAATCCAATATCTTCTGGTGGTGCTGGTTCATAGCTGAAGATTGTAATTGAAGGAATGATTGCATCATCATCAAAGAATTGCCCATCAAGTTCCTCCTTTTTCATCATACTTTCACAATATTCAGGCATAAGCCATCTACCTCCCCTTTTCACCAAAGTGGTTCTCATCAGCTCTGGTGAATCTTAATCTTCCACTTCTGGAATGAATGTGGGATCAACAAATCTTGAAGTCAATAAGCTTCCAACTAGTATGCCATGCTCATTGAACCTCCAACCGGTTGATTTTTCCAAAGCGTTCAGGCACTTGCACCTCCAAGCAGCTTTCATCCTCATCTCGAATGACTAATGCGGCCTTGCACTGTCAAAGAGTGATTTTGCAAGTTGAGTGGTACCTTCAAGTCACCATTCTCCATTGTTTGCTCCCGACCATTGATTCCCCAACCATGCTCCATCAGTCTTCCATAGCAAAGTATGGGCTGATATGGCAAGTCTTCACTTTTGAACTGAGAAGAATCACGTCTTCTCTTTGAGAAGAGCTTCATGTCCATTGTTCTTGTCATGCAGACGGAGATCGCAACACTTGAACCACACCCCTCCTGCATGACATACGGTTCCCCTACACATCGATCATAGTTTGGTAGCTGAATTGAACTCTAGCTATCCGTCACCCCATGACCTGCCATATTCGAAGGGAATAAAGCTACATCAGCTCCACGGTCAATAATGATGGCCATATCATCTCTCTCTTCTCCAAGTCTCCTGACCTTGGACTCCTCATTCTCAATCTCAATCTCCATGGCTCCTTCTTCACATGGCTCATCATCATAACAATAACAATAATAATCATCATCTCCGATGTAGAAGTGAATCACTCGAATTCCATGATTTTCTGGTTCATCATGTCCTTCTCGCAGGTAAAAGATGATTGGTTCACTGTTCTCAATCCTTCTGACCACTTGTTTGGTGTCTGCTGAGCTACTTTGCTGACTCACATTGGCTTGTTGTTGGCCAACTGTATGAGTAGACACTGAAGCTCCTCCTGAAGGTGAATGGGCTGTATCACTTGCAACCTGTCGAATATTGTTTCTCCAACAGTCTCGAGCAAGATGTCCTGGCTTCCCACAAGTGCAACATGTAGCCACACCTTTTCCTTTCTGGCCTTTGCCTTTGCCTTTGCCCTCGTGATCACCTTATTCTCCTTTCTGTTGCTCTTTTCCTTTCTTTCCTTTGCCTTTGGCATCCTTACCTTTGCCCTTCTGATAGTCATTCTTGCCTTTCTTGCCCTTTCCTTTGGCGTCTTGGACTCGATCAACGTCCATAGGCATGGGTCCTTGATCGTCTGTACTGCTACTTGCCAGCATCGAAGTAGCCCACTTCTGAGAACGATCCCGTTGCAACACTTGTTCCCTCAAAGTTGAGTATTGAACATTGTCGCCAATTGTCAAATTCAAGTAGGATCTGAGCTGTCCACCTACACATCTCAAAAGAATAGCAGATTTCAACTCTTCTTGAATTGTTGTTCCTTATTTGACTGTCTCATCAAATACCTCTTCAAGCTTCTTACTCATCATAGAAAATGCTGGCCATGTAGTGGCTGCTCCCAACTGGTTTTCTCTTCTCCAGCCAAGTCCATGTCAAATCTCTCGTTTGGCTAGTCGTGAATATCCTTCAAGTCCTTCTGGTAAGCCTCATCCACTGGGCATAGATACTTCTCAAACACCCATGACCACTCTCTGAACGCTGTGATCTCTTCTTCTTGCGACTTGTGTCAAATACAGTGGGTTTGGTAATCAACTTTCACCAATGAGTTGTCGTTCTCTTATCTTCAACTGCTTTCTTCACTGCTTCTGCTACTGATGCTGTTGCTTGGGTGCTTCTGGCTACGACTTCAAGGATTTCTCTTATCTCATCCATCGTTACCGCACAATAATGTCCCTCTGACACAATGTACGGGGTGCAGAGTGCAGCTCACAACCGTTTATCACCAGTCCAGCTATTCGGGTTCCAAAGGCCCCAAATCTATGGCTCGAAAACGCTCTCGGGATCCCTGTGACCTAGGCACTTTTCTCTAGAGCTCAAAGGGGGTTACCCTTATCCTTGCTCCGCTACCATGCGAACTTTTTCTTGACAATCAAAGGGCTGCGATCAAGTCACATGTACAACTAATCCGGTACATTGACTCTTATGATCTACATTGAAAGTTCCTCACAAAGTGACTGTTAAAAAAAGTCAGGAGTTCAAAGGAATCAGAGGGAAATCAAAATAGGAATTAACAGGAAATCGCGAGGAATTCAGGGGATCAAAAGGAATTGGAAGGCGTTGACTGGGATTCGAAGGGGGTCAGACTGCAGCAAGGAGCTGACAGTGTGGACCTCTCGCCCACTGACGAGCAAGTTCGAAGCCAGAAGCCTTCACAAAAAAAACTTGCAAACAGCCATGGAGTTTCTTCAAGGCTGGCAAGACTTCTGATATAGAATAAGCATGGCTTCCAAGCTTTTCACTTGCACCGTTGAACTCTTGTTGCCGAAAACCGTAGACCCGACCTCAGCGGTGCGGCACCAGACGAATGGATTTCCGGATCCCCCACCAATCGAACGGAGGCTCCAGGTAGTGGAGGGAGCCCTGTTGGAGGTTTCAATTGGCGGGGAGGTCCCTGAAACGAGCCTTTTCTCGGTTTTCAATATGCCAATGCGTCGGTCGCCTGTTTGGGATTGTATACCTGGATCATCACATTCAAGTCACCAATCGACTACTAGACTGGACCTTCCGGACACCGACGGATGACCCTGGCGGTTTCGAAACCGCCAGGGTTGGATCTGCCGGATGACTTCGACCCCCGCCTGGAGAAGACCTTGTGCTTCCCTCGTGGCCTCTCAAGGCGTCAAGGCGAAAGTCCATCCATGGGAGGGACCGATCGGACCGGAGGAGGGGGTTGGGGTCTCGGAACGTGGCTGGGTCATGGTTCATGGGGTAAAAGGGTTGTAGCTATTCCATTACATGGATGCGCTGAAAGAAAAGGTGTCACTGGGGGTCTCAGCTGATGGCCGGCGGGTCTTCGTGCTTTCGAAAGGAACAGGAAGAGACTGATTACCAGGCATGGTCAACCTTCAGTGGTTCGGTGGAGGAGGTTTTGACCCACTGCCATGTTAAAAAGAATGGTCTGAGCGGAGGAATTTCCTGAGTTCAACTGGACTTTAACATGACCCCTTTGTGGTGCAGGTCGGTTCCAATTTGGGCCACTGGACCAAAGCCTTGGGCTGGGACTTGACCCTTGAAATCACCTCAATGTAGGTCATATGTCATACTAACCTGGATCCTCCAGGTAATTACCTCAGGACCTCGGCCATCCTGGAGCCATGTTGATAGTGTGTTCAAGTGGGGTCCAGGTTTAGTTGAATGTCTGATCATGAGTCTCAGTTACTTACCTTTGGGGGGCCATATTTGGCTGCCGAGCCTTCAAGGCATCAAGCTGCTTCCTGCTTCCACACCGAGCGTCGAACGAGCATCGATGCCGACCTCTGGGTGCCTTCCGCCGTCCAACGCGAACTGCGAGGGAAAACTCTGGGCACTGCGTCGGTCGGGTCCAGCCATTGGGTGGCCGTAAGGAATCGATCATTAACACCCGCAACTCGGGTCGCCCTTTTTTGTTCCGAGAAGACCATCGAAATTCGTATAAAAGAGTTCCGTTGACCTGGAGTATATATAAAGAATGGTGGTGCGGGGTCAAACCGCATTGCAAAATGCATGATGGTTCAGATCTTAGGCTATAGGCACTATAGGCACCGCTGGTCCACGGTCACCAATCGCGAGGACTTTCTCCCGTGAGCACCTGGAGTCTGATACTTCAGAAAGTGGGTACTGTCGTACCTGCATGCTTTCATGAGATCCTGTGTCGGGTCCTGGCTCCTTTTTCCACTGGGTCCCCTGGGTTTGGCCTCGCCACCTGGATCTCTGACCCGAGGGGCGCCGTCTGCGGCTGCCGTCCGCCGCACGTGCCGTCCGGTCAGGCAGCTGTGGGGCCAGTTGGGCCTTCGCTTCAACGGCCGTGGCCTCCTTTCGGGAGTGTCTCACGTTGCTGCACCAAGGCCTGGCCCGGTGGCCCGTCGCTAAGACCGATGGAGCTGCGAACCATGAAAAGACCAAGCAGAGAGACCTGGAGAGACCTGAGCAGAAACAGGTGACAAGGATGGAACATTCCAGGTTGTTTTGAGCCACTTCCTTTCCTTCAACGATGAATGGCAGGGGTTCCATCGACATCGACCTGTTTCTGATGGTTTCCTGCAAAAGTTCCTCCAGGGATGAAACAACTGAAGATCCGACATCGACTGAAGACCCGGAGCTCACCAACCAGCTTCGACCATCCGAGGTCAGGAGGTACCTGGACCCATCCATGGATGGGTGGCATGGTCCCTGGCATATGGTTGTTGCAAGCAAATCGTGATGGGAAAGGAGGCAGTTGTAAGGAGGTTGACACACTTGTTGAGACAGGAAGTTGTAAGCAACTTGTATCAAGGAGATGATTGGAGACACCCTCGAGATTTCGAGCCTGGGCCCTCCAGTTCGCAGGGGTCCAAACCTGAACCAAACCCTTTTCTAATTTGAGAGCCCGGATAGAAGATGATCACAGGAAAGAACGGTTTTTATTAACAGTCATCCCCTGGGCCCTGGTAATTTCGTCCTTTTGTCCGTGCACAGGCGAGCAACCGGCCTCCTTGAACTTCTTCTCTGCACAGGTGTCTCGCCATGTCTCGCTGGGTTGAACCCGCTTCGTTTGGGTCAACAGGGCCGCGCGCATGGATTCCTCAACCAGCCATTGTATGGAATACACCGTGGAAAACTAACATAGACCCTGAAAACCACTGGTTGGTGGAGGCAAACACTCTTCCAGGGGGGCCAGACAGTCAGGGTCTATGTTAGTTTTTGGGAGTGTAGTAGTTGCTTGCATTGAACCCCTGAAACCACAATGTAGGTACAGTGGGGAGTCCAGTCGACTAGCTTGAGAACGGTCGATCTTGGGTGACCCGAGTCAAGGAACTTCCTTTACAACGGTCTTGGGCAGTCTAGGGTATACCTGGACGTCTAGGGTATACCTGGATCTTCCAACTCTGCAACATGTTCCGCCTTTTGGCTAGGTTCTTACAGAAGAAAAGGTAGATAAGTTGCACAGCTGGAAGATCTAGGTATGTATATCTCAGAATATGGAGTGTTTGAGTGAGACCAGCTCCCTGTCTGGTCTTCCGAACCGAGCTTCCCACTGTACGCCTCTTCGACAAGGAGCTGTGGCGACCAGTACCGGCGTGTCGGATCCTATGTTGTGATAACCAAAAGACGATAAAACCGATCTGGCTGTATACCACCCTAAGAATCCATGGGGCCGCCCTATGGCAGGGGTTGGACATGGTTGGACCCTCCAGTTCGCAGGGGTGACCTGCCCATTTCAGGGCCCGGATTCGGGGTCTCCCAGGGATCTCCTTCGGACCACCCCGTGGAAGCACTACAGTCCTTTGGAGGTCTTGCTCTGTGCGAGTCTGGTTCCAGCTGACAAAATAGAGTATATAGGAAATTGGATGCCATTTTTTTGGAAGCAAGCCATACAGAAATAAAAAGTCTCTATAATGTATAAAGAAAAAAGCATGCTTGGACCATCCAAGCCCCTAAGCAAGTTCCCATGACCACCCTACACTACTTGTAGGCTTCCATCACCCATTGTCAGCACCACCCAGTTTGGGCGGTTCAGAGACCCCTGATTTTTCCACCACCATCCAAAATGGGTGCTGCTGGTGCTACTGATGGGATCATACATGGGTGTTGAATGTAACTCTGTACCTGGACCCGCCGTCCGATGGGCATACCTGCCGTGAAGCACCCGTCTCGTCCGATGCTTCAGCCTGTGTCCCAATCGCCAGCCTGTACGGATCGGAGGTACATGGGTCCACCCTACACCCCTAGGGATCCAAGTACCTTCTCAGAAGGTGATTGGAGACACTCTTATGTAGGTTTGGAGGGTCCAAGTACCTTCTGAGAAGGTACTTGGATCCTAGGGACTCCTGGTCCACTCCTGGATCTGGAGGGATCGGACCCCGAAGCAATCCCTATCTACCCTCTACTGCTCAGGTTCGGTAGGGGACACTCCTGGACACTCGCCCGTCCCGGTCGTCACCGAAAAGGAAGGTGTCCACTGGAGCCGGAGCCCTTAAAAGGGACCGGTCCGCCGCACCGGTGTGCACGGAGCGCTCGGGAGAAGACTCGTTCCGCACACCCCAACGTCCGAGGAGTTGGTCTCCTGCTCAGCGCACCACGGCTGTTCCGGCGGCAGCGCAGCGGAGGTTGGGACCGGCGGTTGGATGGGTCAAAGGGTGCACAAAAACGAAACCCACTTAACTTAATTATATAAACCATTGTTTTACCAAGGGTTTTACATTTTTCACAACAACACAATATTGTTTTTACCATTTGAAAGATGGTGTTGGACTTCCAGAATAAACCGCCCAGGCGCTCCTTCCACAACTGTTGGTCCCTCCACCTGGGATTGGTTCGGTGGTCCCATCACCAGCCCAACTGGCATTTGGCTGGCAAGCATTTCACATTCCTCACCCAGTTGCCGAAACCGAGGTTCGACCATTCAAAGAGTTCGGGAACGACGTTTTGTAGTGTAAAATCATTAGTAAAAACTGTACATGATTGATTGGACATGTTTGGCCCAAACAATTGTGGGCAAATGGTCAGGTCTTTAGGTCACTGTCGACCCTTCGACGCCCAGTCTCGCCATGGTGGGAGGAACCCACCGAACCCACCAAACCAACAAACCGCCGGGGAATGACTGCACCAGGCCTTCTACTACATGAAGCAACGCGGCATCGCGCGGGAGAACTGCTCGCCCTATCGCATGCGCTGTTTCCACGACCAATCCACCATCTCCATGCAGGCCGGGAAGGGCAGGGCAGTCAATCGTGCTATGGCTTTTGGGTGACTGCAAAAGGACGTTAATGTAACTAAAACCGAGTGTTTGAACCTGGAACCCTAATCTTCCAAGACGATACGCGCACTCGCGAGACAGGTCGTCAGGTCCCGCAGGGTGTCAGCTGAGCAGACACGCCCTGCCTCTTCCAAGACCTGGTGTTGTAGTGCAACATCGTAAAACCACGGTTGTTCGGGATTCGAACCATCAAAACCAACGATGGGACAGGAATCCTTACGTATAGGGTCAGGTCTTTCACAGGACTTGGACTATAGGTAGACTTTTGTACCTAAAGACCTATAGAGTCTCAGTTCGTTACCTTGTAAAAGGCGGAACACAGTCGTATACCTGTTTTTGTCCAGCTCCACGTCCTGATTTTTCGTCTAAGCTGAAGGCATCTATACCTATTTGAGCCACACCTTCTTCGGGTCGGACCAGCACCCCTTCACTCACCTCGTCACCGGATGAGCTCGGCCGAGCCTCAGGCGGCGGACTTCGAGACCTTGGGCCAGAACAGCTCCAGTTGTGCCGGTGCCGATGGCCGGTCGCCGCTTGGGTTTGATTCGCGTGGTGGTGAAAACGCATGGGGAACTACGCCATCGGCATCGCATCGATATCGCATCGCAATCGGCGAAAGGGCGGGTGACAAAGGCACGGTCCAGGACAAGTGAACGTGTGGTTGTTTCAGGTTCTCTAGGGATCCAGTCGTACCTTCTCGGGTTCGGTACGACTGGACCCTCCAAACCTACATAAGAGTGTCGAACACATCACCGTACCTGAGAAGGTACTTGGATCCCTAGGGGTTGTTTGGGGCGATAGGTTCTCCCTGGTCGAACCCGACTCGAATCACGGTGGTGATTGAGGGGATCGAATCACCTTGTAAAAGAGGCTACTTATATGACACACCGAATGGGAATGGATTTGTTTTGAGAAACTCGGGAAACATCAGCCATGGGAGCCCAAATCACATACTAGTGTCAATTGTTTTTTGGGGCTGAAGAACCAGCTGTTTTACTAATGAACAACTGACAACGTCTGACCAAAACAGTACCGTCAGAAAAAACAAAAGGTGACAATAATTAGATTAACAAGCCCCATCATCACCAATTATCAGTATTTTGTGGGGGGTTGATAAAATTATGGGTCCCCAATTAATTGGTGATTGATAAAGGTGACAATATTTTTCCCGAATGCGTAGCGAAGGGTTCCCGTCTATAGTTGGGGGTCTGGGGGTTGGAGCTGTGTTCGCGTGGCTTGCGTCGTGTCGTCGTCTCTCGTCGTCTGTCGTCGTCTCTGGTCGTTTGTCGTCGTCGTCGCGTCTCAAATTTGCTGCCATTGGGGGAAGCTTTTGCAAGGGACTTTGCATGGACGTGTCACGTGTCAGTTTGCGTCGCTATTCCATTGTGATTTGCATGACACCGACATGTCGCGCAAGGAACGTGATGCATTTCGCTGCACAGGCGCAGCGTTTTGTGAGATCCGCAGTTTGCTGCGCGGTGCCATTGGGATTAGCGTTTGGAGAGTCGTGTTTTTGGGGTGTTGG